GGAAAGAGAGAGGTGCCCCAAGAGGGTCTTCATGGGACAATCCACCACCAGTCGCAGCTGGCCTGGTCACAAGTCCACATCCACACCACGTGATCAGGGAGGTCCCGGGACCCAAGCCGGGGACCTTTCCCATGTAGGAACCGCGGGATGACTGTGCTGCCCGCCCAGTCTACAGAGGAGGAAGGTGAGTCTTGGTGGGGTAATACGAGGACCTCCCCAAGGCCATCCAGCTGTAAGTGGTAAGAGAAGGGTTCTACCCAGGCCATCTGAGTTCCCCTCTGCACGCCCCAACCTCCGCTGTGAGCCCTCCCCTCGCCCAGTGGCCCTCACAGGCCTGCGTTGTGCCTGCTCCCTGTCCTAACTGGGGGCAAAGGCCGTGGGAGCCTTCGTGGGCCTGGAGCTGAGCTTGTTGGAGGTCGGCAGTGACCATGCCCAGTGTGGTCTGCTTGTTTATGCAAAGGTGGGTTTTCTTTTCTTTTTTTCAAAGAGAGAATTTTACTATAGGGTGCATGCGCTCGCTGGAGAGACAGAAAGTGAGCAGTCACCCCCAGGGGCCATGGCCACTCCACAGTCCCTTCTCTTCCATCCTCCTCTCAGGATCTTGGGCACACATGCACACACTGGATGTGTGTGCGTCAAGCTGTCGGCTTCCAGACTCGACTACACTGAGTCCAGTGATGTAACCATTACCCACCCACTGGGCCAGAGGTGGGTTTTCCTTGTGCTGATACCACCTGAGCGCTGGGGCTCCTCACAGCGGGGGCCTAGGTTCGGTGCTGGCGGAAATAGTCCTGTGCTTTTGTAAACTCTCCTCCAAGAACATCTCTGGGTTATAGGAGTTTCTGGCTCTGTGAACTTGGGTCTCATCCTGATTTCACCAGGGGACCATTTTGAGAGCAATTTTTTTTTTTTTGAGAGATTTTCACTGTAGGGCGCGTGCGCTCGCCAGACAGACAGAGAGAGACATAGAGACAGAAAGCAAGAAATCACCCCCCGGGGGGATGGTCACGCCACAATCCCTTCTCCTCCATTCTCCTCTCGGGATCTTGGGCACGCACGCACACGCGCCCGGCGTGAGTTTTAAGCCACCGGGTCCGGGACACGAACCGCGGTCGACTACGTGGGAGTCCAGCGACATAGCCATTACGCTAACTGCTGGTTCCCTTGAGAGCAATTTTTGAGCAGGGTTCCATGGCCTCGTGCTTAAGGAAGCCAGATCCCATATGACTGACCACCTAGTTCATATCCTGGCCTCGGAAAATGGAAAGACACTCCAGGCTCATGTGTGCCCCAAATCCCCAAAGGATGGAGAAATGGAGAAGGGGTCACAGCGTGACCACCGCCCCACTGGGGTGCTTTCTCCCTCTCCACCCCTCTCTCTGTCTCTCTGTGGCGAGTCCATGTGCTTGCTAGAAACTAAGTCATTTTTCCTGGGGGCGGGGTCTGACTGACATTCGGTGTCTCCCAGAATAAAATCCCAGCGCGGTACCAGGCATGCCAAGGCACGGCTGCCAGACGGAGCTGAATAAACTGAAGAGCTACCGCCCGGTGCACGCCTTTGATGAAGTCACTTTGGTAAGGAATTCCGTTGTTTTACTGCATACATCTGTAAGTGACTGATAAGCCCTTTGGGTCAGTTAGCCTCTCTGCCTTCTAGAATAGTTCTGAACCTTCCTCTCTGAGCCGAAGCAGAGAAGCTTTCTAGTCAGAGCGTGGCTAGGAGAGCTGCATCAGGGCAGCCTGCGCGGTTTCCACCACTGGAAATGGGTGTGAAGGTTTCAGACTCAACACGAACTCCTTTGTATCAGCTTGTGTTAAATCCTGACTGAACAAAGCAGGGGCGGCCATGGAGGCGAGGGCTCGCAAACCAGCAGCCCGACACC